CCCCAAAACCCCAAAACCCCAAAACCCCAAAACCCCGTGATAAGAAAATAATAATGAAAAGTTATAATATTAAATTAAAAAACAATGAATTTACCTTTGTGAAAATACGGAGATTCTAATTGAGTCGAAGTTTCCTATTTGGTCAAGAGTACTCAAGAGAACAAGCTGGAAGATGATATCTTTGTCTGTGGGAGGTGTGCTAATACTCTCTTTGCAGGAACAAAGCCTATTGAGATTCCTAAACCTGATGATGTTCTTGAACCTCTGCAGTGTGGTAAGGCCTTATTAATTACACTCAAACTCATTTGGGTGTTCTAAGTGTTTCTTGGCAAGCTTTTGTTGATGTCCAGGGTTCCAAATTAGATGTTGTTCCAAATTTTACAATTTTGATATTTATGAAAAATTCATAAAATTCTGCACACTTCTCCAAACTTTATTTACTATTTTAATGGATTTTGATTTGACTATTTCGGTATAGTTGAGTACATTGTTGATGAGATTATGTACTTCTGAAAAGTCAACCATCTCGATAAACTATGGAGTTGGATGAAACCTGACCTAGAAGAATATCAGGAAAGATGTATTCAGATGGTAAGTAAGTCCTTTGACACCTACCTTTTTGTTTGTTCCTTGAAAATCTCAAAATCCTTTGGCTTTCGCACAATGAAAGCCTCTAAGTTATTGAGAACTTCTTTTCAAGCTACAAGTATTGGCTACTATCTTTTATCATGCGATCAGTTATGCTTCTGTTACTTTAGGTTAAGATAATAGCTTCTTGTTATTTGAAAGATGTCTCTATGCTTGTTTGACTCTCTTTTGAATATCTATATATTGATCAATGACTTTTTGCTTTGTCAAATTATTACACAAAGCTTTATTGCTGAGCAAATAGTTTCATAAGTTAGCATCCTCATTACTACGTAGTCGATTCATTATTCTTGTAGATGAAATGGGGTCAGCGAAGATAGGAAAAGCCTCTAAATTTGCAAAGGGCAAAAGAACCTTTACTCAGTGGAGGAGACTCCCTTACATCGATATTGAGGCCAGAAGACTTCTTGATTCTCTCTTCGATTCAAATATAATGACAGAATATACCAGAAGAGCAGAAATCAAAAAATTCAGGGATCACAAGTATGGCACTAACAAACTCGCAAGCATCCCCAAGATTGTTGACGCTCAAATGATTGTCAAGTTGAGGAATCATATAGTGAACACAAGGTACGGAGAAGCCCAGGCTAAACTCAGAGAAAAGAGTGCAATCATCAAAAATCTGACTGAAGTAAAGGCATTATTGACTTCTCAAAATAAAGACAAAGATCAGGAAATTCAAGAGTTGAAAATAGATAATCAGAGCAAAGACAAAGAAATTTCTAAGATGAAGGAAAGACTTGAGAAATATGAGAAGAAAATCAAGAAGCTCGAAGAACATGTTGATCTTCAATCTAATAAAATTGAGGAGATCAAGGAGGAGGCTAAGGCTCAGATAAATAGTATTGATCAGCCTGAATTAGTTGAGTAAGTTATTAGAAATCCCATCCTCTTCACTAAAAGCAATAAATAGTTACAGCCTTAAAACCAAACTGTATTAAATTGTCAAAATTTTTGATGCCAAAAGAAATAAATTTGCTACAAATTTTCAGATGTAAACTTCTATGAGATATTATGTGCATTCTTAGTTCTAGTTTTAGCTAGGTTCATGATTGCTGATGTTTACTGCATGTACTTTCTTTTAATTAGAATACTTCCATCGAAGTACAGCATACCATCGTAAACAAAGTGCAGTCTCGAATATGCTCACAGTAATTGATCAGTTTCTCTTTTTGAGGAAAATTTATAGTTTTGTCATTCTTGTTGCAGTATACAATGCTTATTGGAGACACTTTGCCATTTTCATGCAATCTTCAAGATATTTTGCATCTTCAAAGCTTTAGGCGCCCTGGAATTTTCTAGATTATGTTTTAATAATATCTGCTAGAACTTGAATTGCTTGAGTTGTCAAGCCTTGCTTTGACTCTCTCCTTTACTATATTTGAATCAATAGTTTAGTTTTTAGTCTCGGAGACTTGTCAAATAAAGTGTAGCGTATTCTGACTTAAGAAATGGTTCAGATAACAAAATTTAGGTATTAATATAAGAGTGATTTTATTTACTTGATCCTAGTAGTTCCTTTACTCTAAATTATGTTTGGCTATAATACATTAGCTAATACGGAGATATATTTCAAGCCCAAGACGTCAAAACTTTTCACTGTAATGCAAAATTAGAATAGAGCTTCCACTCAAATTATTGAAAGTATAATGAATTCCTGAGTCATTACAAATTAGGAAGATAAATTTCAAGGAACAATTTGAATTACGTCTTTAAGTCTTTAAAAACAAACATCTTTGCAAAATGCTGCTCTGCTAACATTTTTAGACTCTATATGGAAATTCGATAATTTTTTGACACTTATAAGACTTTAAATAATTTCAATGGTTCTATTTCATTACTTTTGTTGCTTTTTAGTTTTATTTTTGACTCCATCCTTTTAAAGACTATAGCTTTCTTTAACAACTTTAAGACTTTAGGGTAAATTATTAACTCTGTATACTTTACTAAAACTTTCGGTGTTTCTCTAGCTTGACAAGCTTAGTGAAATTGTTTTTATATTCGATTAATAGTCTTATTATTTAATTAATCTTCTTTACTTTATTGTGGCTTCGGCATCATTTTAAATTCACACATTTTGATAAAATATTTATCAAGATTTGACACAAGCAAACAGCTGGGCTTATATTTAATGCTGAATATAGATTATTTGTCATATTCAAATATCAAACGGATATTAACTTATTTTAATTTCAATGGAACAGTTTACTTTAGTTCAATATAGTTCTACATCCAACTTGTTTTATGTAGATTCTGAATAAATATAACTTTTTGCCTTTAAAAATATTAGATATGCATTTCTTTAGAGCATGCACGAAATGAATAAAATTGTATTTCAAATGTGCGATATTTATAAACCGAGGACATTTCTTCAAGAGCATTTATCTTGACTTCAAGAACCCCTTCCAAGAAAGGTTAATTATAAACCTTGGATTGAGTAGATTAATCCCGATTGCTTGGAGTTAGTCATAAGCTTTAAACATTGAGTAGAAGTATTATACCCGAAGATAAGTCCTAGATTCATGTGTTAACAAATACTTATAGCAACTCATACAAATCTTCAAAAGGAGAAACAAAGCATTGTGAAAAAACATTCTCAAGATATTTCTAAACTCCAGCAAAACAATGAAGCCCTTGAAGAAGAGAGTAAGGCAAAAGATATCAACATTATGGAGCTAAAGGAAGAAATTGAAGAACTAACAAGGAAGCCTGAAGATGCATGTGAACACAATAAGTCCATCAAACAAAACCTCGTCTCTCTAATTCAAACTTTCTCCAACCGAGAAGTCACCAGCCTCTTAAAAGATTGGGAAGTTTATGATGAAGATAACTTAAAAGATAAAGAGATAAAGTTTGATCAGAAGACTTGACTTACTCTTGATCTCGAGAATGATAACCATCTGGAGTTCTTAACTAAAATTAACAAAAGAATTCCAGACTGAAGATCCATTAGTATTGCTTCCATACCTGGAGAGAATGAAGTTGTTAAGACTTTCCTCAGGCTTTATTTCCCCAACAAGGTTGAACACTTTCATTTCAATGAAGATTCAGATTTAAGTGGTTGTCTTTCTTTCTACATGACCGAACTGGAAGCATTGAGTTCGAAGGTTGAGGAAAGATTTTGGATTTGTAATTTTGAGGTCAGCCAGCACCAGATGAAAACACTCTTAGCGAAATACAAACGCAAGAGATGGTTTGGATTTTATAACTGCAAACTAGCCCTGTCCTCGGTGCCTGACTTCGGAGGAACTCTCAAAGGAAGTCAATTGGAAATATTAGATTTGCACTGTTGAGGAATAAGTGATCTTGGAGATTGGGAGAACAACCCGGCCCACTTTAAAAACTTAATCGAGGGTTTGGCCAAGGAACAGGATTTTAAGAATAATTTGAAACATATTTTGATGTGGGGGTGAGGAATGGAGAAGAGTCAGGTTGAAGAGATCCTGAAGAAATACGAGTTTGGAGAGGTTCAAATTTCTATATAAAGAGATGAAAGCCAAGAAATAAGTTTTTAAGATAAAACTTGGGTTCTTTGAAATGAAGTCTATGTTTAAAATTCATCATAAGTGAGTTATAGAAAAATTTGGTTATTTCAATTGAAGAATAACTCTGTGGGGTTTTGGGGTTTTGGGGTTTTGGGGTTTTGGGG